TAAAGTCCCCTGAATCGTTAGACTTTGGCCTGTATTTGTGGACTATGACATTTTTGCTTCTGATTGCTGTTTGTTTGTTCTTTATCTTGTAGAGTGCTCTGAAATTATTGTTGCAGTTCAATGACCTACACAATTAAGCATAATGTTGTAACAATATAATTGTTACTCAGCTTAAGATTGGATGCATACTATCTTCCTTCATCCAATGTATATCTTCAGTTACCCTAGTTCTTAACACCTTTATTCCTTCCATCAATGCAGGTTACAAGGGAAGTCTCAAATGTTCAGGATGAATTAGTACGGCTTGGTGAGCAGATGGTCCAAAGTGCTGAGGCACAAGAGCTTAGCTTTGGAACTTTGCCGTGAATTGAAGATAAGTTTCTTCAACACATTACAACTGGTGAGGTGAGTTATATCTGTTTCTGAAACTTTCTAAGCATTATATGTGTTTCCTTATAGTTTTCTTGTGTGTTTTTATTTCAAATTGTTGTTCAGTCCACGCCTATATAATTTACATATTTAAATTAGAATTCAAGGAAAAAAATACATAATGAGGAAAGTGTTATCACATGCCTTCTTTGTTTCACTAAAGTTACTTGCTCATTTATTGTTTTGTGAGGCTTCTTAATGAATACTAAGGTTCAAAGCTCTTCCTTCCTACTGGCTTTGAAGCTGCAAGGGTTAGAGTGTCTATAAAGGATTTTTCAAACAAATCCTTCTCTGTTCCGAGAGAAAGTGTTTTAAGTGTTGTGCTCTTTTCTCTTTGATTCAGTTTTGTCACCAGATATTAGGTGAGTTATTGTTTTCCTTTGGTCCTCATGGACAGCTATTCATATATATGTTAATTTTCTTATCTCTTTTGCTAACCAAATGTGTTGCTTATATCAAAAATTAAAAAGAAAATTACCGCTTGTTTACAGACAGTACTTTATTCCTGAAGCACTTGTTTTTTTCCAAATGCTTTGTTAGTTGATCAGTGTACCTATGCATTGGTAGGTTTTATATATTTAGATCTTTAAACAAGTGGGTGTAGTGGGACTTCAATGCTTGTAATTATGTTCTCTTTTATTATGTATATGTTCCAGAGCATTCATAATTAATAAATCCGGGTAGATGTATGAAATACCTATCTTCAGAAATATCAGCTGTGATAGCAATTTTGGTTCCAGGGTTCCGGTTGGAAATTGTTGCAAGTTTTAGGGGACTTTTCCTAACAGGATCAGCAGCTTCCTTTGGACAGACATTTCGACATCAATCAGTCAAGAGGGTATGTTCTGCTTCTTATACAATTCACCTATGTATATAGGTGTACTGTTTCAGGATTTACCAGTTATTAACCTTCTTATGTTCATTGCTATTAGATTGTGTTAGAAGCAGATGGTTATCAACCATATCCATTCTCCTGAAAAAGGTTTGAGATCTTGATAAAAGGTGTCCTGGAGCTGGCAAAAGAACCATCCCGTCTTTTGTTGAAGAGGTAATTGAACCGTGTCTTCTAAGTGCCTTTAAATGCTCCCACCCATGTTACTTTATCCCTTTTAAGGTGTTGGATGTTCATGACCTAATTAATTTCTTAGCTCTGACCTGTTGTGGGATCTCCATTCTCTATCATAAGTTGTATGCTTCGTGTTGGATGCCTTTTATGGACATTCAAGTGGTAATTATCTTTCATGTTTTACACATTACCTTCTCTTACATTGTTATTCCAAGGCACATGCTTACTGGTGTGTACTGTCAATGATTTCTTTGGCTGTAATGGTGTTTGCTAACTTATTGACTTGGAGTCAGAATTTAATTTTATAGTACACGTATATTTTCTAATGGATGACAGTGAAAATATAACTTTCTTGTTTTGTTGTCTCGAAAACAGGTACACCGTGTCTTGGTTGATATAGTTTCTGCTTCTGCAAATGCTACTCCTGGCCTTGAAGATACCCTCCCTTCAAGAGAGAGGTTGGCTATTCATCATGAGTCGCATTATCTGTGTGTCTGTATGATTTGAACTCTGCATGGTTGAAATCTTCTTTTCCTTCTCATAATGGTGAATGATTTTGACCTTTCACAAGGTTGTGCCATTGCAAGTGCTGCGCTAGATGAGTTTAAAATGAAGCAAAAAGATGGTGGTTGCACTTGTTGACATGGAGCGAGCTTTTGTCCCTCCCCAACACTTCATCCGTTTGGTGCAAAGGAGGTATTGCAAAACATGTTTGCTGTATACTGTATGAAATATCATTGGGTTCTTGCCAAGGTGCTATTGTTTAGATTCTTTCATTTAGCTTAAAACTTTTTGTGTAAGTTCCTCACTTGTATCAAAGCTAGGTTGGCAAGGAGGTTTTGTATTTAAATCTCCCTTATTAATTAGATTAGAGCAGTTGGCTTGTGTTTGATCAAATTTTTTTTTTTTTCCTGGGTGTTGGTCTATTGACAAGTCCTTATTTAATTTTTCTTTGGATGTAAGGTGGTCTGTTATTGTATAATGACTATAGTTGGCCAATTCCTAGCAACCTAACCTTGTGGTTTTAATGACTTCTCAAAAGATTGTATCTTTGGGGAGTTATTTTCCCCTCTCTGCAGCTTATTTAAGTTCTCTTTGTTTTATCAGGATGAAAGACAGCGCCGAGAGGAGGAGGTGAAGAACCGATCTTCGAAGAAAGGACATGAGCAAGCAAGCAATACTGAACAGGGTAGGAGGTCCTTTGTGTGATTTAATCCAGTCTGACTTTAGAAAGATGAAAACATGGTGTAGCGCTTAGTCCTGTATCTTAATGCAGTGTCCATCTTGCTTACTATTTATCTGTACATTTTCCTTTTAGGCAACTAGTCCACAAACAGGTGGTCAGCAAAGTGGTGGAAGTTTGAAATCAATGAAGGAGAAATCTGGTCAAGCAGAGAAAGAAACAAATGAGTCTTCTGCTTTAAAGACTGCTGGCCCGGAAGAGAAATAACGGCGGTTTGTGTGAAAACTGCCTGCATGATATTTCTGGAGATGTTAACGTTTAACCTTTTGCATAAAGGACTGCTTACGGGATGCAAACTTGAAATCTGTCTTTTGCCCTAGACTACATGCTATAATGAATTAAATGGCCTGACCAATATCGAACTTCATATATCTTGCTACTAGATTTTTTGATGTCTTTAAATCTTTGCATGTATGGTAATATACTTTTTCTACTCAACTTTTACAGACAAAGGTTGATAATCACTCCTTTGCTTGAAATTGATGATTGGTTAAGGAGATCTTTTCATTTTTTTTTTCCGCTAGAAGTTTATAACCTTTTAATGTTCAGGTTTTTTTTAAGAAAAGTGCAAAAACCATGGATGGAGCAAGCGATGGTTTGTTCTCAATGAGAAGACTGGAAAGGTTTGTAAGTAACATACTGCTACAGGTTTATTCAATATCCAAGCTTACATTTAGAGATGGATTATTTGGTGTACTCAGATGTGCAAAATTTGGATTGTACTCTATCATGATTTTGCATAATCCTAGTCTCTCAAGCAGACTTATTTTAATTTCTATGTCATATTTTACTATAAGGCCTTCATATTTAATATATTTTGTTGGTTACTTACATGTTTTGATTTCATTGGACCCACATTTTAAAGCTTTCTCAAAATGGTGTAACATCTATACAAAATTGGTTAAATACTTTAGTGATTTTATAAAATGTGGAAAAAGACCATTCCCTTTATTTCTTTATCTTCCAAATCTAAGAATACAAGATTCTGAATGTATAGTTTATGTCTCAAGTAAAAACTCATTTAATTGGTATGATATTCTAGTATCCTTCTTTTCACAGCTTGGTTACACAAGAAGCAGGAGGAAAGACATTTTCGCGGTGTTATCACTTTGGAGGTGTGCTTACCATCTTTCTGTTAAATTTTAATCTAAGATTATTTTTTCCATTATGAACATGCTGAAGCCTTTTTCATCATTTTGAGATTAATTACCATGTTGGACCAGGGTGTGCTTCACATACCGTATGGGACTAGATTAGTATTTCAATTATGAATTAGATTGGATTAGATTGCATAGGATTGTATAGTTTATTACTATGTTTGGTGCGACAGTGGAGTAAATAGGTACATACAATATAATTAAATTATATATAATAAAAAATTAAACATACATTAAATAAAAAAATTTAACTCCCACAATAATTGATTTTTAAAATAATATAATATTTGTTAATTAAAATTTATTTTGTAAATATTTGTTTATATATATTTTATTTTTCCCTTTCCTATTTTTGTAAAGTTAAATTTAATTTATTATAATTTTTTTCATAATTATTCATTTTAAGTTTAATTATTATATATTTAAATTAGTTAATTAGATTTTGAAAATATGTAGCAGGCACACTAAATAGACCCCCATCCCCACGGTTTATTTCATGTGCCTGTGATAGGATTTGGACTGAAATCAGTCCACCCTATCCCCAGGAACAATGCCACATCGGCTTAAAGTGTTTTCCTACTGTAGCGCTGCTGTTTTGGAAATTATAGCAGTGCAATACTATTAACAAACACACCTTGGGAGGATATGTAGAGCTTTTCCTTGTTATCGTAAATAATGTCTACTATTCAAATTCTCTAAAATTGAACAGTGACATAAATTAGTGTACAGCATTGAAAGTCAATATTAGAATGGATTAAAGATCATATATCATGGATGCATCTTAATATATCAACCTCGATTATTGCATGATGCATATTACTGATGTCAAAGGATCAGTTGGCATAACACTAACAGTATCTATGTGCATTTTTTACCTTTTCTGCAAGTCTTACTAGATCAATTGTAATTTCTTTTGATCCATATAGGGTTGTGTGCACAACACTGGCAGGTGTGGTTGGTATTGATTTGTTTTGAATGTCATAGCATAGGGAGGTTACATTTTTTGAATTTTTCCAATTCTTTCGATCTCTCTTGATCTTTCTCTCTCAAGCTTCGCCTCGCCTCCAGATCTCGCCGTTTCTGGTTGATCCCATCTCGATCTCTTTCAGCCTTACTGTTAACCGTTAGATTCGATGGAGGCGATCGAGGAGTTGGCTCAGCTTGCCGAGTCGATGCGACAAGCGGCGGCGCTACTTGCCGACGAAGACGTTGACGAGAGTCCAAGCTCGAATTCTCGCCGGACTTCGACTTTTCTCAACGTTGTGGCGCTTGGGAATGTTGTAAGTTGAAGATTTTTAGTTGTGTGGTTGAGAATTGATAGATCTTTGGTTTATTTGTTTGTATTTTATTGCGATCAAGTGAGGTTTGAGTTCGAATTTGATTCCGTGAAGTTTGGGGGTTTTGGCTGAGTGGGTAACGTTACTGGAACCTTGGTAACTTTGAATCCGAAAAATTCTATAAAATGAATAGGGAGGCGCCGGTAACTGTACTGTTATCGAGTGAGATCTTACTTTTGAGGTAAGGCAGCTAACGTTACCGGCGCCTTAGTAACTCTTAATAACATTAGATTGCATTTCCAGAAAATGAATGGGGAGGGCCGGTAACGTTACCGAGGTCGAGTGGGTTTTATTTTGAACTTGATTGTGCGAAGTTCAGGGATTATGTTGAGTTACTGAGGGGATGACGTTACTCGTCACTTGGTAAGCGTTATATTGTATTTCGAAATTACAAATTGAGGCTGGTACCGTTGACTGGGAAAGTATGATTGGCTGAAGTTTTGTGATGATACATAAATTATGAAATCTGGATTGCATCAATTGATTTTTGAGTTTGAATTTAATTGTGTGAAGTTTGGGGGTTATGTCAAGTCTGGTTACCTTACGCTCTGTATGGTATTGTTGCAATTAGTTATTGAAGAGGATTGTGAAATCTGGATATTTACCTTGTGTTTGTTGATTGATTTTGTTTGAGTTATGCTTTGACTTGTTTGTTTCTCTGACTTTTGTATTTTTTTTTTTTTTTTTTAAATATTGGGCAGGGTGCTGGTAAATCTGCCGTTTTGAACAGTTTGATTGGGCATCCAGTTTTGGTAGGTTGGATTGCTCAGGTTTTGTACCTTTATTTTTTTGGGGGTTATGAAACGTGGTAGCTTTGTCTTTAATTCTGTTTTCTCTGTCCAGCCAACTGGTGAAAATGGTGCCACTCGAGCTCCAATAAGCATTGATTTACAGAAGGATGGTTCTTTGAGCAGCAAATCAATTATTTTGCAAATTGACAATAAGTCGCAACAGGTTTCTGCAAGTTAGTAACTCCACTTGATAGGTCTTCCTAGTTAGCCTATTTGTTTATATAATTTTCTTAAAGTTCATTTTGGGTGTGTATGGTTTTAGAGTTAGTATCAAACATCTGCTCTGAGGTTTTTTGTAATACCTCCTGGTTTCTATGGTTTTATTAGTGGAACTAGCCTCTTCTGTGGTGTCAACTGTATGTTGTCACAATCACTCCACGTATTTGAGAAAGTTGACATGTTAAATGTTCTGTAAAGGTTCTTTTTGAATTTTTTTAGTCTTAAGAAATAAAAATGTTTAAATGCATGAGGCCAAAATTGTACTTGTGCAGTTGATCCCTAAGGCAAATGAACTTGAAGAAGAGGTTAGTGATTTTGTTAGAACTTAGAAATACTGGGGGAATGCTTGTGTAGGTTCATTTTAGACTTTTTTTATTTTTTATTTTTTTTAATGCTGTATTTACCAATTGTTTTTCTGCAGGTGCTTTAAGGCATTCTTTACAGGATAGGCTTAGTAAAAGTGCCTCAGGCAAGAGTCGGGATGAAATATATTTGAAGCTACGCACAAGTACAGGTTGGTATTTATAGTCTCCTATCTTGTGTATGCTGTGATCTCTGTTTCAAATGTTTTTTGTAAGGCTTTAGAATTTCTAAATGAATAGTTGGCACAATTATTGTTATGTTGGTATTATGAATAGTTAATCTCAGTATCTTGTTAAAACTTATAAATGTCCTGGAAGCATTAATGAACATGTAAATTAAAAGATAATGATAAATAGATGGGTCATTAGTTATTGCTTATTAAGATAAAAATATTTTGAGTGCAAAATTTAGTGATTGAAGCCCCCCTAAACTTCTAGAGAATTGCAATAAGTATAAGATTTGTAAATTAAGTGATGGGTCATTTAGTTTACTGCTAAGAGGTAAAACCATCTGGTAGAATGTTCCTGTGAACAACCAAACTAAATTAATTATGAAACTTCCGAAATATCTTCTCTTGAATTTATGGTTTTTGAGTTGATTGCTGATATGGTCTTTAAATGACTTTTGATTTATTTTATGTCACTATATAAAGTTCTGGTTGTTTGATGATCAATCATTTATGTTTATGCGTACTTCCATGTAGAATCTATGTTAGGGATGAACTGTTACAGTAATGAAGGTACAATTTATATCTAAATTTGGCAATCTGAATTTTTGTTGTGTTGGCTGGTTCAGATCTTTAAGAAAATATCGGATTGCATGCAGCTTAAAGCTTGTGTGATCTGATGTTTAGAGTTTGCTGGATTTTAACTCCTATTGGGCCCAACCTCTGTATTTTTTGTTGTGATTTATAGTTATGTGATTCAATCTATGCTGTGGTTGTCTACATATTAGTAGATTAATTCCTTATTACATTTTTGGTTGCTACGTCTCATGTTTTTGTCTAATTTGACTTTTGCAGCACCTCCCTTGAAGTTAGTTGACTTACCTGGAATGGATCAAAGGATTATGGATGAGTCAATGGTGAGTGTCTGTTAATGGTTTTAGACCTGATCTGCATTATTAATTATCTGGCCCTGTAGTCATTATTGTTTTGATAGATGCTCTTTGCATGTATCTCAATGAAGGTTATATTTTGTTGCTCGTTTGCTTTTATTTAGTATGGTGAATAAATAATTACTAGGTTTTTTTTTTTGTGATGTCACTTGCATAGGTTAGCGACTATGCTGAGCGCAATGATGCAATTTTATTAGTTATTATTCCTGCTGCCCAAACACCTGAAATTTCTTCATCTCGAGCTCTCAGAATTGCCAAGGAGTATGATGGAGAAGGTAAATGGCTGTAATCTTTTATATCATTTTAAAATGTTCTTTAGGGTAAATGTTGAATTTTTTTCTCAGATGTTCTAGTTTTAATTTCATAAACTTCTATCCACTAATGCACGTCAGGCAGTACTCTTTGAAACTGTATGCACATCTATTCCCTCCCTGTTTCCCATCTCTTTGTACCTGTTTTTGCATTGGTTCTTTATTTATTTGTTAAGTAAATTGGGAACTTGCTATGTTAATGTTAGGAACCAGAACCATTGGTGTAATAAGTAAAATAGATCAAGCTTCTGCGGATCCGAAAGCTCTCGCTGCTGTTCAGGCTCTCCTTTTAAACCAAGGTCCACCAAAAACAGCTGATATCCAATGGGTTGCATTAATTGGTCAATCAGTATCTATTGCTTCTGCTCAGTCTGGATCTGAGAGCTCCTTAGAAACTGCATGGAAGGCAGAGAGTGAAAGTCTCAAATCCATACTGACTGGAGCCCCTCAAAGTAAATTAGGCAGAATAGCTTTGGTGGATGCTCTGGCGCAGCAGATTCGCAAGCGTATGAAAATCCGGGTTCCAAACCTCCTCTCTGGGTAAATGTCTTACCACTTGCTGCATGACCAATTGAATTTCATCAATTTTTTTGTTTATCTTTAATGGCGTATTCCATTTTGTGACACAAAATATATGTTACCTTTAGTTTTCCTGAAAATGATTTCTTACAACTTCTTACTTGTGCTGAAATTTTAGGATCTTGCATTGCAATCATAATAATTTAGCAAAAGGCATTTCTTTACATTATTTTTGCCAGTTAAATCTCGTGAGTGAAATTTAGCTAAAGTCCCACTGAATCGTTAGACTTTGGCCTGTATTTGTGGACTATGACATTTTTGCTTCTGATTGCTGTTTGTTTGGTTCTTTATCTTGTAGAGTGCTCTGAAATTAATTGTTGCAGTTCAATGACCATACACAATTAAGCATAATGTTGTAAACAATATAATTGTTACTCAGCTTAAGATTGGATGCATATCTATCTTCCTTCATCCAAATGTATATCTTCAGTTACCCTAGTTCTTAACACCTTTATTCCTTCCATCTATGCAGGTTACAAGGGAAGTCTCAAATAGTTCAGGATGAATTAGTTCGGCTTGGTGAGCAGATGGTCCAAAGTGCTGAGGGCACAAGAGCTTTAGCTTTGGAACTTTGCCGTGAATTTGAAGATAAGTTTCTTCAACACATTACAACTGGTGAGGTGAGTTATATCTGTTTCTGAAACTTTCTAAGCATTATATGTGTTNCAAATTGCAGCCAATCCAATGTTTCATGAGAGAACGAAACACATTGAGATTGACTGCCACTTTGTAAGAGAAAGAATCCAAGATAAAACCTTAAGCACAGAGTATGTATGCAGTGGAGAACAAATAGCAGATATCTTGACCAAAGGACTGGGAAGACAGCAGCATGAGAAATTGGTTGCAAAACTTGGAATGAAAGATATCTACAAGATACCAACTTGAGGGGGAGTGTTGAAGGGCAAGTTGGCCAGGATTGTTACGTGGCAGCTGAGCTAACTTAAGTTTGTTATACGTCAGAGTTAGTGTAATTAGTTAGAATCAGTTAGATTAGTAAGATTAGTTACTTTCTAAATAAACAGAAAAGTGATGCATGTGTTTGTATATAAACTGTACAGAATCACGTGAATAATATGAGAAAGTCTTTTCTTCTTCTCTTTAAGTTTACTCAACGTCTTCTTCTCTCAAATCTCAACAGGTCCCGATATCGCAACCAACCGATAAAGGCTTAGATTTGGACTAGCCACATGTCATCAGCAACCAAACATAGCTTAGCATCTGGATTTGAAATGTGAAATTATGGTTTTTTATATTTTTTAGAGATAGTTTACAAGGCGTTAAAAAGAGGGAGAGAAAAAGGGTGTTTGTAATTGTAGGAGAGGAAGCAATAAACATAAGTGGGGGCCAACAGGGGAAGGTGAGTAGTGGTGGAGTGTTTGAAAACATGAGGAGTGAATGAGAGTTTTAAATTTTAATTAAAGATAGATAGAGTTCCAAGGAATTAAATGCAGTGCAGGTGTGCAGTGTTTGTCAGTTTTTTTAATTTTTGATTTTTATTTTTTTAACTCTCTCACTCTTTACGTCTCTGGTTTCAAGTTTAAATTTGTTGGGAAAACCGGTTTGTCATTGGTTCAAAATTACACTAAAATCGTTAACTAAACCGGTTTTTTCGGTTTTCTTAATTGAAAAACTGAAACTGAATCGGTTAGTTTGGAAAACCGATTTTTTGGATCAGTTTTTTGGTTCGGTTTTCAATGTTTTTTAGCACTAATTAAAGCGATGATCGAGCTCAAATTTGGAAGAGAGACTCACAACACAAGAAGCTACAATCTGAACAATGAAGATCAAATTTGTGAGTTCTAGAACTTGTGTTTTGCTCCCATGACAGTAACTACGAGTTTTGGTGAGATTTTTCCAACCTCCTTTTGTTAGTCAGGTTTCCACTCAGATGATGATGTTTTTATTGTGATTGTATTTCAAGATTTGATTTTGTTCTTGATGTTTGTTTGCTGGATATATCTAATAAGCTAAAAAGAATCATTGTAAGACATTATTTGGTTGATAGTAAAGTTTTTGAGTGGATTTCGATCCCATGGTTTTTCCCTTTGTATTAAAGGGTTTTCCAAGTAAATTCAAGTGTTTTTGTGTGATTGTTTGATGCTGAATTGTTACTATATTAGTGTGATTATTCTCTAGTCAATAGTTCACAAAATTGGATCCTTAGTTTAGTCCAATAGTGGTATCAGAGCTTGGTTGGCAATTTTGTGTGTGTATAGAGATGGATGTTAACACTAGTAAAATGATCAATTTGGATGGGGTAAACTGTCACGCATGGAAAGGTAAAATAAAAGATCTCCTTTATTATAAGAACTATCACACTCCTATTTTAGGTGATTTAGCTAAGCCTAAAAATATGAAGGATGATGAATGGGTTTTGTTGAATAGGCAAGTATGTGGGGACATACGAACATGGGTGGATGATAATGTCTGCAATCACATTAGGAAACAAATGCTTATGTGTTGTGGAATAAGCTAGATGAGTTATATGCTGGAAAAACAGGTGGCAACAAACTGTATTTGATGAAAAAGTTTATGAACTTGAAGTGTAGAGATGGTACTGCTATTACTGACCACTTGAATGATATGCAAGGTATTATTGATCAATTGGCCACTATGAAAATCTATTTTGAAGATGAGGTATTGGGTTTATGGCTCCTAGGTTCTTTTCCGAAAAGTTGGGAAACTTACAAAGTCTCAATTATAAATTCTACTCCAAATGGAATAGTATCTATGGCTTTAGTTAAAACCAATTTGTTGAATGAAGCAACAAGGAGAAAAAATGCAATTCTTTATCAGGTGATTAAAAGGCTTTTGTTACAGAAAATCGGGGAAGGAGAAAATATAAAGGCTCCAATCATCGTGGCAAATCTCAAAGCAAGTCTAGAGCAAAGAAGGATATTGAATGTTATTATGGTGGAAACAAAGGTCACATGAATAGGGGAAGAAACAAAGGGACAATGAGCAGAAAATAGATGAAAGCAACACAATGATAGCATCCTCAGAAGAATTTCTCATTATTCATAAAGGTGACATGATTAATCTTACTTGCCAGGACTCCAGTTGGGTCATTGATAGTGGTGCCACCATACATGCTACCTCCAAAAAGAATTTCTTCTCACCATACACACCAAGATCATTCGATATAGTGAAGATGAGAAATAATGGTACGCCCATGATTATTGGTATAGGTGATGTATGCTTGGAGACAAGCAATGGTAGTAAGCTGACTTTGAAAAATGTAAAACACATTCCTGATATTAGGATGAATTTGATTTCAGGTGGAAAGCTTGATGATGAGGGTCATTGCAACATCTTTAGTGAAGGACAATAAAGGCTCACTAAAGGATCCATGGTTATGGCTTGAGGGAAGAAACGTCTACTCTCTATATGATGCAAGCTAAGGTGTCTAAAGAATTTCTTAATGCAATTGGTAGTGATTCCACTATAGAGTTGTGGCATAATAGATTAGGTCACATGGGTCAAAAAGGTCTGCAACACTTGGCTAAGCAAGGACTTCTACAGGGAGTGAAATTAGCAAACTTGAAGCGTTGTGTTCACTGCTTGGCTGGGAAACAAAATAGAGCTAGTTTCTAGACTAACCCCCCATTAAGAAGGCCAGAGGTTCTTGACTTGATTTACTCAGATGTTTGTGGTCCTATGTCTACGAGATTACTTGGAGGTTCGATATATTTTGTGACTTTCATAGATGATCATTCCGGAAAAGTTTGGGCTTAAGTAGCTTTAGGCAATTGTTGAGAGGGAAATCGGGAAGAAGCTGAAATGCATCCTAATAGACAATGGTGGTGAAAACCGTTAACTAAAGCTAAAATGAAAAAAACCCCTTAAACAGTATTATTAAAATTCTATTTATTTAATAGCTTGTTAGTTGGATGTTTTTTAAGTTGTATATCACTATATCTTTCTTATAGGTTGGGTTCAATCCACTTGATAATTAAAGGTAATAATAAAATCTTTTAACATTACTATTTGACGATATTTTTGTCATTTTATTATTATTATTATTTTCTATGACCGGGATGTCTGGACAGCTTATGCACAACTCAACTAATCCCTAGAGCCCATTGAGCACCTTACAAACCCAATGTTCTAGGGTAAGCCATAAATGTGGTAGGTGACCCCAAGGTCATTTGAACCACAAAAGCCAATGAAATGAGCAAATCAAAGTAAAAACTCTCTATAGTAATACTCAAAAGTTTAATTAAAAATACAGTAAAAACTCTCTATAGTAATACTCAAAAGTTTAATTAAAAATACAATAAAAACTCTCTATAGTAATACTTAGGGGCGGATCCAGCGTCATTGAGGGTAGGCCTTAGATTTTGAAAAAAAAATTGCAAATATTTATAATTAATTGTTTTTATATCAAAAAGGTGCAAATATATATGTCCCACAATCAAAGTAATTGCTATAATATGTTAATGTGGCAATGCCAAGCCCACCAATCATAAATATTGCGACTATGCTGGCCCACCAGTTTCATTATTATAAATATATTATATATATGCAGCCAATCTCCACAGCTTTTGTATCCCTAATTTTATTTAGTGAGTGCGCCTCTCTTTCTCTTTCTTCCTCGGTTAGTTGAAGCTACAACTTTTGAAGAATATTTTCTGGTTTATCAGTTTTAGGTATATATATTACTTATTTTAATTTAGTTTATTTTAGGGTTGAATCATGTTTGGTTTATTAGTGGTTTTTTATTATGATGAAAAAATGTATGAATCTTGTGAGTTTGTTTTGTATTTATTTAATTTTGTAATTGATTGAAAACATTATTATTAATTTATGACTTTAGATATCACAATTGCATTGATAAAATTAATTTTTTGTATAATTAAAGGCAACCTGATTTGCACCAATTATTAATATATTAATAATGGTATTTTTATTATTGACTAAACGACATATTCCCACCCAAGGTTGAGCCAAATCCTAAGCTAATACGCGTGGTTTCATTTATTCCAAATACCCACCCTTAAATCAACACCATTTTCTTTATTTTAACAGTAAAGGGGCAAATTGGTCTTTCTCTTCTTTTTTTTTTTTTTTTTCCCTCTTCCCTTCCCATTTCTTTCCCCAGTACGCCTCCTCCTCCCATCTTCTTCCTTTTCCCTTTCACTTTCTCCCTTATCTCTGCCTCCTCCTCCCATCTTCTTCTTTTTCGGTCTACACCTCCTCCTCCCCGGCGCCTCACCATCCCAATCCACTACCCCCCCGACCACCTTGACTCCCTTTTTTGCCGTCACCCTTCACTTCAACTGTCGCACTCCGCCAACCTCTTTCCGACTGTGGTGGTGGTTTGGACGCTGTGGTGGTTTTCGGATGGGGTGGTTTGGAATAGGATGTGGTGGTGGTGGTTTGGCCGGCTGTGGGATTTGGAATGGGGTATAGTTTGGATGGCTATGGTAGTCGTTTGGGATGGGTTGTGGTGGTGGTTTGGCTGGCTCGGGTGGTGCCGTGGTGGTTTGAAATGGGGTGAAGGGCAGTTTGGTAATAGCATCTTTCAGGACCCAACAGTCACTAACTGTGTTAATTTAAGGGTGGGTACGTGGAATAAATGAAACCAGTAGTATTAACTTAGGATTTAGCTAAACCTTGGGTGGGTATATGTCGTTTACTCTTTATTATTTTATAATGTGATTAGTTGGCTAAGTATGCTCTAATAGTAATTAAATTAAATCTAGTTGATCTATGCCAATAATTTAAATAAGTCAGAAAATTGATTAGCAAATTATATAAGTTTTTAAATTTCAAGAAAATTAACACTATAAAATGATTAATTAATTACTAAAATAATCTTTTAATTAGATCTAATTGTTACATCTAAAAACGTTATAAGTCAAACTTTGTAATTTTATTGATTAAAGTTTCATTAGCCTTTCTTTACATGTATCATATTATATTTTTTTATTTGATAGCTATGATATCCAATTATTTCAAGAGATTAAAGAAAATTCCAATAGAAATTGTTGATGAAGACTCTACTGATATTGAGGTTAATCAAATCTCATTAGAAGAAGAAGCCCCATATCAACGACAACAACACCATGTAAAAGAAGTTCAACCTTCGATCAGAATGTTCAATTTAGATGAGCTTGAAACTGATCTAGGATTGAGGATACCAGTTAACAAGATTTGTTGTACTAACAAGTAAAATGAGGAAGTTCGAAGAGCATACTTGTCAAAGGGTATTTGCCAACCTAAAGATCATAACTTTCCTTTCACTCTTTTTGGAGACAAAAAGCGTAAATTTACACCAGAGTGGTACAAAAAATGTCCAAGTTGGATGGAATATAGTGTGGCAAAAGATTGCATCTTTTGTTTAAATTGTTATCTTTTCAAAACCGATTATAGTGGCCAAGCAGGTCGTGAAGTTTTTGTGAGTAATGGATTTAATAATTGGAAAGATAAAGCGAACGTGAAAAAACATATTGGAGATCATTCTAGTACTCATAACTAATGTCATGCCAAGTGTGTTGATTTGATAAACCAAAGGCAACACATCGATGTAAATCTTGCTTGCGTGTTGAAAAAGGTCAAATTGGACTATCACATTCGTTTGAATGCATCAATTGATTGCATTAGATTTCTGTTACATCAAGGATTGGCATTTCATAGTCATGACGAGTCGATTGAATATGAAAATCAAGGTAACTTTATGGAACTATTGAAGTTTCTATTCAATCATAATGACGAAATAAAAAAAGTTGTGCTGCAATGCTTTGAAAAACCATCAAATGACGGCCCCCAACATCCAAAAGGGATTAACTAGTGTTTGTGCTCATTTGATGATCAAGAAAATTATTGCAGAAATTGTGAGAGATAATCAACCGTTCTCTTTACTAGTTGACGAATCTCGTGATGTGGCAGTGAAAGAACAAATGGCTATTGTTTTTTGCTATGTGGACAAAATAGGTTGTGTTTTGAACGTTTTATCAAGGTTGTGCATGTTAAGAATACTCCTGCAAAGTCTTTGAAAATTGCAATAGATGTTTTTTTTGTAAAGTATGGATTGAGTTTGACAAGTTTACCGGGGCAAGGTTACGATGGAGCAAGCAATATGAGAGGTGAGGTCAATGGTTTGAAGACTTTGATTTGAGAGAAAATAAATCAGCTTTCTACATTCATTGTTTCTCTCATCAACTCCAACTGGCGCTAGTCAAAGTTAAAAGTAACCATTCGGCATTGGGTGAATTTTTTCAATCTCTTTCTATGTTATCAAACACTGTAGCGGCATCTTGCAAGTGCAGAGATCTTCTACGTGATAAACAGTATGAAAATTTGATATCTTTAATTTCTAATGGTAATCTTCATATTGGACGAGGTTTGAATCAAGAATGCACTATTAAACAACCAGGAGATACACGTTAGGTTTCACACATAGGGACAATTTGTAGTATCATAAATTTATTTTCTTCTGTTGTTGATGTGCTTAGGGTGATTGAGATTGAAGGAGACAATTGGCAAAACAAAAGTCAAGCAAGGAGTTTATTACGAATCATGGAGAATTTTGAATTCGTCTTTTTGTTATTCTTAATTAAAAGAGTATTAGGAATCACAAATGAACTATCATAAGCATTACAAAGAAAAGATCAGGATCTTCTTAATGTCATACAATTTGTACAAATTTTGAAGCATCGATTGCATAAAATGAGAAGTGAAGACACTTGCTTTGACATATTGTTAAAAGAAGCTTCTGATATGTGCAAAGATAATAACATACCAATCTTGGAGAATATGGAAGATAACTTTGAAAGGACAAAACGGAGGATTGCGCCAATTACGAATAAACATCATTTTAACGTGGAATTGAAGTACACAGTTTTGGATAACATTCAAGAAGAACTCAATAATTGTTTTGATGAAGTAAATATGAGGTTGCTTCAATGTATGGCATCTCTTGATCCAAGTAACTCTTTTGTTGCATTTAACAAAGATAAATTACTTGAATTTGCAAAGTTCTATCCTACCGATTTTCCTCAATACGATATTTGGTTGCTTAATGATCAACTTGAAAACTATTATGAGGATGTTAGCACTAATGTCAATTTCGCTCATGTCAAAGGGATTGTCGACCTTGCTAAAAAAGATGGTTGAGTTTAAGAAGGATGTTGCTTACAACAAAGTTTTCTTGCTTATTAAATTAGCATTGGTTTTGCATGTGGCTACTGCAACAGTTGAAAGGGTGTTCTCTGCAATGAATCTTGTGAAGAATAGTTTACGTAATCGAATGTGAAATGAGTGGATGAACAATTGCTTGGCGGTTTACATTGAAAATAAAGTTTTTGCTACAATTGAAAATGAAGATAT